GTACGAGAATGGCAGCTGGTTCCGAGGCAGAGGGCAGATTACTGGCCCTCAGGTGAATCACCATCACTATCCACCACAGTTGTCAGGGCCTCCCTGACAAATCCCTCAAAGTCACCAGCACTGTCACTATCACTGGCTTGGGCTGGCTGTGGTGGGTTGCTGGCAAAGAAGTCTGTGATGTTACGCTGACGGCTAGTGTTGATGTTGTCGTGATACACCTTGATGTATGGCTCCATAATCTGCAACAGCTGGTTATTGAAGACTTCATAGCGGTTATCGTCATGGTCGTTGGAAAGGATGAGCTTCAGTTTCTCTGCACACTCGATGGCATCCTTAACATTACCATGTGTTAACTTGTGTTCTTCTTGGGATGACGCACCACCTGCCTCTTCACTGACGTCATCGTCTTCTAACATCTCGTCGGCAGTCACCTCAGGATCCCTTATCACCTCCATAATGTCGTCGTTGGTGGTCTCGGAGAAGCCTGCAGCTGTAACACTCTGCGCAGCTTCTCTTGCAAGGTCCACTGCCACTGCAACAGACTGAACCCCACCAGTCACAGGTTTGACTCTGCCTCCCACCTGGGATACCTTGCAACACATGCCGCCATGCGTGACGAATCGTTGCTACAGACAGCTGATCCCATGCCTCTAACAAGAAGTCAACAGCTTTCAGGACGTTAAATTTCTTCCAAAACTGTTTGACGCAACTTCTTGATCCGCCAACTCTTGTTCCTCGTCCTCGTCGCTGTCGGTGTCACCCAGGTTACGCAACTCATCCTTGGTGTTGGTACAGTCGTTTAGGAGCTTAAACTTCTTTGTAGAGAATGCAGCCTTAACGTTGCATATCAACTCCTGGTCCATGGGCTGGATTAACGACGTAGTGTTGGGAGGAAGGAAGACCACTTTTACGTTGGGGTGATGATCCAACAGTAGGGGCGTGTGTCCTGGTGCGTTGTCAAGGAGCAACAAAATGTTGAATGGAACATTCTGTTGCTCGCAGAATTTCTTGACGTCGGGAACAAAACAGTCGTCAAACCAGGAGAGGGACAGAGCAGTGAACATCCACGCCTTATGTGCGGTTAGCCAGTGGACATTTAGCTTGATCTTGTAGGCGTGCGGCTTGCGTGCTGTGTGGATCACTGATAACTTGAGCTTACAGGTACCGGAGGCATTGGTGGTAAACAGGACTGTGATGCGCTCCTTCTGCAACATCCGGCCCCGACACTTGCTGGCAGACTTGACAATGAAGGTCTTGGTAGGTAGCTTTTTCCAAAACAGATCGGATTCATCCATGTTGAACACCTGGTAGTCGGTGTACTGTCCTTCCTCCATAATGTCACATAAGAATGGAGGAAAATTACTAGCCGCAACACGGTCAGCACTCACTCCTTCACCACCAATATTATTGTTGGTGATCTTGTTCCTCTTCTTAAACCCTTGCAGCCACCCAGAGGAAGCATTGAAGGGTTTGGGCTCTTCAATTCCCATCTTACGTGCCACTGCTATGTACAGTTCATGTGCGTACTCTTGAATCGACCGCGTGTCCACCGCCGTGTTCCGTCTTGCCTGACGAATCAAGTAGCTCACAAGTAAATTCTCCGTCTTGAGAAGCACCTTGTTCTGACAGTACTTCAACATTGAAGCACCTGCAGACTTTGTGATGTTCATGTGTTCTTTTATCTTAGCTGCATCCTTCTTGATCGTCCGGATCGTAGATTCATTAACACCATGCTGGCGCACGAGATCAACCTATCTCGTTCCTTTTTCTAACTCTTGTATTATCTTGTACTTCACCTCGTAACTTAGGGCACGTCGTATCTCTGGCTTAGGGCGGCTGGGTCCAAGTAATGCAAGGTTTTTCTGTGGTGGTGGGGGTCCAGTGGAAGCCATTCTTACGAGATCAGTGAGATTATCAGAACAATAGAACACAGTATACACGGAGTGACTGGGAGGATCGTAACTGACGCGGCTAGGTCAAGCGGCTTCTTCCCTCCTGTGGCAGGGCACGTCATATTACATTAAACCAATTACAGCTAGCGGCGGAGGGAGGTAAGGATGCGTGGCCCAATCACAGTCCGATACGTCATATGACGTCACCGATAACACAACAACAGCGTAATATACTGCGCATCTTACTCACGCGCTTGTGCCAAGCATGGCGGGCTGCTTGAATCCAAAATGGCGTGGCCTGGACCTCCAGCGAAGCCGCGACATATGACCAAATTTACGATAATTAAAGCGTTTCAATTTGGCAAGGTACCACGAATGACCAAACGCTAAGTCAAAACCTCGAAATCCAGACTATGCTAGTTAATAAAAGACGAGGCATTATGCACAATGCTGGCCCTCTGTAAAGGCTAATGATCTTATTGGAACATATAAATAATAATTAGTAAATATTTTTATTTATATGATCCGTTATTATTTAAATTAAAACAGAAAACTGAATAATTTTCCCAAGTGAAGAAACTATAACTGAAAGTGGAATGTTGGGTTATTTAGAAATATTTAAAATAATACAATTAGTTTTTTGTCCAGCTGACGGAGAACCGTTGGTCTACATAGCCTCTCTACAAGTGAATGCAGTTTTTGAAGTGCATGCATTTGTGTCCATTACATTTATAGGAAACCTTATTAAATAGTCTCTTGGAACAACAACTCTTAGGTAATATAATATTCACTGTATAATATAAGACTTCATGCTTATTAAGGAAAAAGTATTAAATTTTACTGAAATGTTCAAATTCTTTCAGTCTAACACAATAAAAGTTCATTTTAGCATGTTATTGATAGAATGGTTTTGTCTATATGTCCATTGAGGCATGCGTTTATCCTCCGCAAAGTAATGAGGATGCCGAAATTTCTTCGATTCTTCCTGGTTGAAAACTGTGAAGACCTAAAAATTAAATCTGTATTACTAAATATAATGCTATTTAAAAATATATCGCATGCAATGCATGCCTTTGTATTCATTAAAAATATGCCACTGTTAGATAGTCTTCGCCTTCTGATGAAGTTGCAAGGCTGGCTTCGTCAGCAATTTTCATTTGTTACCACTACATACCTTCACTTACACCGTCAATTGAACCCAGGAGTACCGCGAAACTGAGAACGCGTAAATGAAATAATAAGAAACATATAGGATTAATTGAAGTAGGTATCAGCTTTAATTCCCAAACCTAATTTATTCTATTACTAACACGACAAGTAGTCAAAAATAACATCTAATTTATGATGGTATGCACACACAATTAATAATTAAGAGAAATATCAATAATATTAGTTCAACACTCCCCACGTTAGTAGAAAAGATGGCTCAAGACACGGGATGCTGTCTGCAGCAGAGGCAGATTATTGGGGTCTCACCCAGTGCTCACTTGTATCACTATCCATCACAGATGCTTGCAGGGTCTCTTTGTCAAACCCCTCAGTCCATCCCACCATCACTGACTTCAATGCTGTGGGTATGGTGACAAACCCGGGTAATGTTTTGATGACTGGCTTAATTTGTGCGACTCTGCCGCTACCGGGCGTAAATGACCACGTAATTAAAATGGCCAACCCTGCAAGGCACCGCGTAAATGACCAAACGCGTAAACAAAAACCGCGTAAATCCAGATTCAACTATGAAATCAAAGTTGAAACCATGTTTTGCCAGTGATGGGTATGGCGTGGGGAGACACCACACGGTCACATACAGTACCTAAAGGTCTTGTGAGGTGAAGTCAAGTCAGGTGACAGTGGCCAAGACAGTGGACTATCCCTTTGATCTTGTGCCCATTAGTACCTTGACCACTCACCTCACCTAGCCTACCCTTTTATTCCCCCCTCCCCCCATTAAATCCTCTCTCTTCTCCCCCACCTTTCCGTTAGACGTCAGTTGCTCTTTGCATATACCTGTACCTAAAATGAATAGAGTCTGTAATTCTAAAATGCTTTACATGTGTGAGACTGGGTGTACTTAAAATTCTGTTTAAATAACTAAGTGCCTCCCAGCACATGCCAGATGTTATGTGGTACAAAAAATTCAGCCATTCATCAATTAGAATCGAAGACGTATGTCACCACAGCCACACCCCCCAATTAGAGGGACAGTTCGCAGGAAGAATCAGTCAGACTCAGTAATTATGGAGGCAACAATCATCCACGAACTCATCAACTGAAGGAGCTTGATAGCTACTTAGCATGCCCAGGGGATGGATTGGAGCTACTGAGGTCTTTCCTGACATTATGTGACTTATCTCTCAGCTTAACACCTTACTACATGTATCTGCTGCTTGTGGGCTTATTATTTACTATTTATTTAATTATACCCTAGGGGGCGACAAACCTAGTCTCAAGAGCCATGCGGTCAGACACTAATATATTGGTACTCATGTCTCACAGGATGACTTGTGATATGGAGACAATATTAATATGATTTAAGGACAATGGGAGTTAGCACCCACCAAAATGTGGATAGTGTACAAGAATTAAATCTAAATTACTGAGAACCCTCGAAGATCTGGAAACACGAAGTTCCCAAGCGCTTTCGTGTAATTCACATCTTCAGGGGTGAGTACAGACTAAGGAGAAATACATAACAAGGCAAATATATATACAGTAGAGGAAGGTGAGATCAAGTCCACAATAGTCAGGTTATTAGGTAGTGACCCTACTAATCTTAAAAAAGCACCGCAGCAGTCGGTAATTAGGTCAGAGGGTAAGATGACCCAACCTTCTTACCTGGTTACAAATCTTCTAAATTACGAAATTATCCAGTTTGTACATACCATTACTCAAATTCATGTTGATGGATTCGGTATGATTAATGAGACTGGATTCTATAATGTTCCTACTGTCAATTGAATTACAAGGTAATATTGAGGAGGCATTATCCCAGTCAATGCAATGCTTATTATCTCTCAAATGAACAAACAGAGCATTGGATTCCTGGCCTGTCCTAACACTATATTTATGTTGTTTCGAATTTATTAATGGCTATTTACTCTTTTTACAGGTTTGATAAATATTCTAGTTAAGGTTATATTAACCTTCAAGAATTAAAAATGGGAAAAGTTAAGAAACTGAAAAAGTTGGGAGGAAGAGTGTCACGTCCAGGTCCTCTTGATGAACAGTTGGCTAGAGACGAAGTTGCTCGTCCCAGTGGTCGTATAAAAATTCGCACTGAGCGGAAGGATGGAGATGATGAGGTGAGGTTCATAAGGAAATATTCTTTAAAAACTAGGACTTGAAAATGACCACATAACCCTTCAAACCATTTACCGTGATATGGGCATACCTGTATCTTAGTTACTATACAGGATCTGTCACTGTTTTTGATACATTGGGAATTACAGTAGTCCTTGTAGTCCTTTTGTCTTCAGTCTGTAGAATAGCACTTTAACTTAAATTATCTTGGATTTGTTTCATCTTTCGTAATGTACAGTATTCTTCAGTAATGAAAATCATAATGTCAGTTTCCTTACTTAGTTTGGAAATAAATCTGCTTGAAATTTTTTCAATAGATGTTTTGTGAGGTTTTGTTTTTTAAAAAGCAGTTTAATGAGATGAATTAATGGTGAAATTTTCCATGCACTATATGTGTTACTTTGCATGTAGGAATTGATAATTATCATGAATAGCCATTTGAAATAATTTACCTTTTTCCACATGTAGTATGTTGAAGGACAACTAGGAAGGGCCATCCTGAAGCAGAGTGTGGCTCAGCTTAAAGAAATGGAGGATGAGATGGAGGAAGAAGAGTTTCCACCTTTGGGTACACAGCGTCCAAGATTCATAAAGCGGTAACACCCATTAGCACTTTTGAAAGAGATGTACTGTTTATATCATATCATGCTCACCAAGTGTCCTGCTAGGGCCCAAGGAACCTCTTAGATGAAGGAGAAAGACCTGGGGTTTGCAGTCTTGAATTTATAGAGTTACCCAAAGTGAGAAGTGATACAAGGATAAATACTCAGTGAATAGTGAGGGCTTTGCAATTATATTTTAAAATATTCATCAAGTCTCTTGTAAATTTTAAGGGTACAAGTCTAATTCCATCATTCACTAATCAAAACTTTCCATTTAAATATTGATTTTCAAAAGTCAATATAATGTATGAAATAAAGGGATAACTTTAACTTCAAGGATAATTTGAAGAGCAAGTGCATGGTAACCAAATAATGTATTATAATTTAGAAGAATCTATCATCGTCTGTGTTCGTTTCATGATAAGTTTATCATGCACCACCACCATCATAGAGGTTAGCCATCTTACCAACCATTCCATTAACCAACAACTGCCAATTAATAGCACTCTTATAAAAAAAAGCATTATCCAGTAAACCTCCCAATTAACTGCATGTTCAGTCACCATATAGTTGTCCAGTTGGCCATAGGTCCAATTTTATCATTATGTTATGACCTTCAAACTATAATCACTCCATAAAATAAAGTAAATAAAAAGGCTCAAGTTTGATGGCAACTGGGCTAGTCTGTTTAGGCTGGAACTGGAGCTCCTACAATGTACCCTCCCTATCCATGGTCACTGATAATGATATTGAAACAGTTTATTTAGCCAGAAACATATAGATACAAAATGAACAATATTGACATGGCTGAGCCAAGCAGGGACTTGAACCCTCTTAGTGGCACTTTAGTTGTCATATATTGATAATTGTGTGGTTTTAACGTTTATAAATATTTTTGTGTGGCTGCTACTAGGGATATGCAGACACCCAAATTTTTGCCAATACCAATATATATATACAGTATATAGGAAGTTGTATTTAAATTTGGACAATTTGAATTTCGCGAGTTTTTTACAGTCTAATTAGGTGTCCAAATATGAGAGCCTACTGTAGCTGTAATTCAAGATTATTTTATTTAAATCCACACTGCACTGCGCTATATATTATCAATATGTTAACTAAATTTCAGAATGATCAATAATTTCAATGTAAAAATGCAAAAATATTCAAGACACCAAGGAAATAGATGTTCACTCCACTGTCAACAAAGCCACACTGATGCCTGGTGGCTGAGTCAAGTGGCTAATGGGTGCACAAAAAACTAGTTCCCTGTACTGCATACATTATCAATATGTTAACTAAATTTTAAAATGACTAATTATTTTAATATAAAAAATGCAATAATATTAAGGAGCACAACTTTCTTGATATTTACTCCACTGGAAACGAATGTAAACATAGAACAAGTTACTGAATTGGCAGACTAGCCGATCAGCTGATGCGCACAACAAAACATGTTTGTTGCAAGGATTTCGTTAATCAAAGTTTTGTTCATTAACTGAATTGAAGATCCTTATGGGAGCTAATTCGTTAATCGAACCATTCATTAACCGAGGGACCACTGTGTGTGTGTGTGTGTGTGTGTGTATATATGTAACCGGTCGGAATTTGCTGGACTTTAATTTCTCACTTGACTTGGGGTTTATTAAAATTTAATAGATGGTAAAGGCAGTGGAAGCGCCCCTTTGAGAAAAATCCCGAACCAGCACAAGAACACTTAAATCTACTACACAAAATGAACTGTCCGTGACCCGTGGAAGGATAGCGTCTGTGACTGGGATGAATGAGACACACTGTAAAATTTAGACACTTATATTCCCTCCAACACTACAAACACAATCAAATAATGGTACACCAATATGCGCACCTCTTAACTTAAACTTTAACCACTACTCTGGGGAATAAAAGTTATACATGACATAGAAATTATTAGAAACACAGGCAACAATAAATTTAAAGTATTAAGAAATGTTAATTGCACATATGAACAGGCCTTAAGGGCTTTCACAAAATAATATCAGTCACTTAGGAAATGGTACTAAAAAATAAGAAATTAAATACTCCACAATGAATAGGCCTTAAGGGTCTTCAACAAATAATATCAGTCACTGAGGAATGGTAATAAAAGATAAGAAATTAAATACTCTACAATGAATAGGCCCTAAGGGCTTTCAGCAAAATAATATCACTCAACAAAATTATAGCACCCCAACAGGTGTACACTTCCTAACCTAACCTAACCACTGCTCTGGGGAACAAGGTTATACCTGAGATCAGAATTATGAAGAATTAGAGGCATTAAAAGAATCAAATCACAGTATCACTCTGGTTCCACTTAATGGCACAAACATTCAAAAAAACACTACTATCAAAATTATTTAAGAAATATTAAACTACACACGTCAAGATAATATCAGTCTGAGGAATGGTGTTAACTACACCCGTGATAAGGAAGATAAAATGTTCCTCTAGGTATCTCCTAGAGTCCTAGACTCACGGTCTCAGTGTGTGACCATTAATATACTCAGATAGCCTCAGTGTACTCCCAGTGCGTCCATGGGCAGGAAGAGAGTGAGCCAATCAGACCTTGCGCAGTTGAGAGAAACTTTAGCTTCCCGTTAGCAAGAGGGTTTCACTAGCTGCTCGGGACATGTGGGGTTGTGCACCGGAGTGGTAAGAACTGATCACCCACTGCTGATGCTGGTCCCGTGTCGTGTTAGTTGTCGGGAGCACTCGTTCACTCAAGAGATCCTTTGCTACCCCGCTAAACAGTGACAGGCCTACACTGATCGGTCCAATGGCGACAATCGCCACCCTCAATCATCAACGGCAGTCAATCTCTCGCAGTCAACTCCGGTCAACTCCAGTCAAGTGGGTTCTGACGGAAACCCTGAAATGAACTCACTGTTAGCTCTAGTTTACTTTATCACTGCCCTATCTAACCCTGTCTGAGATCGAATGAGACTTACTTGTTATACTGCAATAGCGCAGCACAGGTGACTAGGCCACGTGACTATTTCTGATGGACGCGCGGAACGTCTTGTCTGTGTGAATGCTCTCCGGAACTGGCCTAGCCAGCATCGCGTCTCCCCAAGGCGCTAGCTTGGGCCTACGTGATATATTTTCCGCCTAACTAATAACTCCTTGGGACACCCGTAACATTATTCAGACTGCTAAACGATCTATAATAATTTCAAATTCAATAATAGTCCCTTAACTTCATGAATCGCATCATTATTAATTCGGTAAATCATATTTAATATCATATAGGCCTAGTTCCGCAATCTCTCGCTACGAGCAGGCAGCGCTCCCTCCCCTCAGATGACCTTGAACGCTCAGTATCACTCATGGCGGGGCATTTGAAATTACTCTGAAATTTCTGGATATCACAATCGACCCCCCTAAAAAAGACAGCACTGTCCTCATGTGCTGAGAAAACATGCATACGACCCCCCTAAAATTTTGTTCTAAGGACTGCACCTCACCCCTTTTGCTAAATGCAGCATTCCCGTCTTCTCTTCTCTCCTTTTCTCTCCCGCTAACACTCGACCCCCCTAAAAAAAGACAGCACTGCCCTCATGTGCTGAGAGAACAACTTAGAACCCACCTTCAACTCTGTACTATTCCACTCGCAGCTAGCAACTCCATTTCTTCCTAGCCCAACTCAATCCAACCAGAACATCACGCTCCCCTTTTGCCTGGCCCTTAACTAGAGAACCAATGTCAAAATTAATACCAGCCCAAAACAAACATGCTCTCCTTTGGCCTGGCCCTTGAACAAAGAGGAACCAGTGTCAAAAAAAAAATACACAGTCCAAAACAAGCATGCTCTCCTTTTGCCTGGCCCTTGAACTAAGAGGAACCAGTGTCAAAAAAAATACTCAGTCCATCTCCCACATTCTCTCCTTTTGCCTGGCCCTTGAGCTAAGAGGAACCAGTGTCAAAACAATACTCAGTCCACGTCTCCGAACCTCATGCCGGCAGACCAACCCTCTGACAATGTACCAGCCCATATTAGTGAGGCCCTGGACATTACAACCGTACTCTCAATCCCGCTCATGACAGCAACTCAATCCCGCTCATGACAGCAACCACTACTCAACGCACATCTCTGACCTAACCATCTCTCCAATCCCCTCTGCCCTACTCACAACTCCTCCAACTCACCCCCTACAACCTGCCTTTTCTCATTACCATGCACCCTAAACTGTAATCGGTCGGCTTCGTCTTGTCTCTCAGCTGGAGGGCTCGATCAACCTCTCTGAACTACTTACGTACCCCTATATTTCCCACTTGGACCTCACACTTCCTTGACTGCTGGACGTGTGCCTGACATTCACCCCTTGTTTCCTCCCTGAACCGTTGAATGTGTGCCTGAGACTCCCACTTGAACCTGTTTACCTGTGCTTGATAATCCCTCTTTAGGTCTCCGAACTCCTCTCTCAGCTGTACCAAGGTCCCGCGGCCGTCTCTCTTCCTCCTCATACACATCTCTATTGTCAAGCCTAACCAACTCAGTCCGGGCACAAGGATGAGCATCAGTGCGAGTTCAATCCCTACCATTGCTAACCAACACATGATGGCGTTCATTATCCCAACCACAGTACTATCAGTCACGACATTAAAAACTACGCTCTGCTACCATTTGTAACCGGTCGGAATTTGCTGGACTTTAATTTCTCACTTGACTTGGGGTTTATTAAAATTTAATAGATGGTAAAGGCAGTGGAAGCGCCCCTTTGAGAAAAATCCCGAACCAGCACAAGAACACTTAAATCTACTACACAAAATGAACTGTCCGTGACCCGTGGAAGGATAGCGTCTGTGACTGGGATGAATGAGACACACTGTAAAATTTAGACACTTATATTCCCTCCAACACTACAAACACAATCAAATAATGGTACACCAATATGCGCACCTCTTAACTTAAACTTTAACCACTACTCTGGGGAATAAAAGTTATACATGACATAGAAATTATTAGAAACACA